ACTTCAAATCTGTATCAAAGACTTTTGGCCAACTCAAAACAGGAACAGTGAATTTAAGGCCAAGGTGTAGTAAAGAAAAAGACTTCACTTATTTCCTAAGAGTTGAAGTTATCAAGTGCCAAGATTTATATTAGAGGGGACCTAGCCCTGTGTTTGGAACTCCTGCTTCCTAGGCAAAGCCTTCATTTATGGAATAATTCAAATGAAAAAAACTGAGACAAATGCAATTGTTTCTTGAATAGTGGGTCAGAAAATTTGGATATGCTCTGGATATAGCCACTGACATTTTAAAGGCAAAATACACTATCCCTGTTATGTCTCAATTATCTAGTTTAGTAGCCAAGGATATTTTTTTTCCTTGAAGATAGAAAGATAAACTTCTGTATTCTGATTTATTCCTAGTGAACTTATGCATGCTTCTAAAAATTGCTACCACATCCCTTGCATTTCCTCATTTTTTGAAAAAAATATTTTCTCACACAGGGATTAGTGAAGAACATCAAAATCAATATCTGTAGTTCTTAGATAAAAAATATAGATTCCCCTCCTCCATTTTTTGCTCAATCATTCATTTACAAAATGTTTGAGTGCTTTCTATGTACTGAAGCCATGTAAGGTGAAACTCCAGGATGTACTTCCCCCACCCTATCTTTGCTTCATTTAAAAAAATATATTTTTTATTGATTTCTGAGAGGAAGGGAGAGGGAGAGAGAAACAAAAACATCAACAATGAGAGAGAATAATTAATTGGCTGCTTCCTGCACTCCCCACACTGGGGATTGAGCACGCAAGCCAGGTACATATGCCTGGACCAGGAATCGAACTGTGACCTCTGGTTCATAGATCAATGCTCAAACACTGAGCCACACCAGCCAGGCCTTTGCTTCATTTTTTACCTGTTTCTTATCAATGTATGTGCTACCTCATTAAAGTTCTTTGAGTGTCATTCATCTTTACACTCCTTCTTACAGTGCCTAGAAGGCTTGTTCAGTAATGAGAAAATTTGGGGAACTAAATTGAAATTAAAGGATAGTAATAGGTCCCAAATTTTACAAGGAGCTAGAACCAATTTTTCCCCGCTCTGATTTTAAACTTATCCCCATTTTTTACTTTAGAGAAATGCTTTCTTCCTGAAATCTCTGTCATGGTCTACGTAAATTGCTTTTTCTTTGATGCTTGGGAGGCAAACCTGAGCTGGATAATTAATTTTGTAAATATATCAAATAACTTGTGAATTTAGAATCAACGTGCTTGTTTTTATTTTTGGCCTTTAACTCACCTCAGTTTGACCAACCTTTCCCATACTACTTCTTGCTCTGTTCAGATGGTTTCTAGATTGACTCAGTTCTTCAACGAGTTCTTTACTTTTATAGAACAAAGTCAGATCATTGTCTTGAGACATAGTGATACAGGGAGTAGACTTACACATCTGGCTACCTTGTTTTGTTTTGTTAATCCTTACTAAGGAGATTTTTTTTCCATTAATTTTTTGAGAGAGAGAGAGAGAGAGAGAGAGAGAGAGAGAGAGAGAGAGAGAGAGAGAGAGAGGAAGGAGGAGGAGGAGGAGGAGGAGGAGGAGGAGGAGGAGGAGGAGGAGGAGGAGGAGGGAGAAACATCAACATCAATGTGAGAGTGACACTTTGAATAATCGCCTTCTTCCTGCACTTGACCTAACCAGGCTGGGGATTGAGTCTGTAATCCAGGTATGTGCCCTTGACAGGGAATTGAATCCAAAATCCTTCAGTGAGCGGGCCACTGAGCAATTCCAGCTAGTCTCTGGATGCCTGGTTGTCTATCAGGTCCCTCAAACTTAGCATGCCTAATTGAATTGTTGATTGCATCTCTACATCCCTTTACTCTGTTCTTCTGTTGTTCTCATCTCAGAAATGGCAATTCCCTTATGCCTAAAACTTTGGGGTTCTCCTTGGCTATTCTCTGTCTCTCATGCACTTTATTTAATCAATTCCAAAATCCTGTCAGCTATTGCTTCAAAATCTCTCCAGAATCTGACCATGTAATACCCATATGGCCTCTATCCTGGTCTAAAATACCATCATTTCTTGCCTAAGTTATTGTTATCATCCCTTAACAGGTCTTCTTGCTTCTGTCCTTCTTCCTGGACCTATTTTCAATATAGCAGCCAGAGGGATTCTGTTAAAACTCAAGTCAAATCCTGTCATCTCTCTGCTTAAAATCTTCCAGTGGTTCTCTATCAGGCAGTGTAAAAGTTGGAGTCCTTACCTTGGCCTACAAGGTTCTAGATTGAACTTTGCTCTCTGATCTACTTTCCTCTTCCTCTTGCTCACTCTGCTCCTAGCCACACTTATCTTTCTGATAATGCCAAATATTCTTCTGCTTCAGAACATTTGTATTGTTTATTCTCTCCTCCCTGCCCATCCCCAAATGTTTGCATGACTCATACCTTTATTTTATTCAGATTTTTCTCAATTGTTCCTTTATTAGAGGAACCATCCCTGACCACATTATAACATACCCCATTACTTTCTCTCCCTCTTTCCCTGCTATATTTTCTCCACAACCAATTTTGTTTACTGCCTGTCTCTTTACATTGGAAGTTAAGGTCTTGAGGACAATATGACATGTTTACTGGGGATATACTATGTGCCAGGTTCTTTTCTAGGCACTGGGAATATAAAAGTAAACAAAACAGATAGATAATAATAGTCTTACAGTATTTCCATTCTGGTATTACACAAATATTTTCTCAGTAAATATTTGATAAATGCATTTAATTAATATAGCATACACTTAACAGAGTGACAGGAATGGTTCCAAAATAAAGGAGACATATTGGCTTGTCACTCTTTGACTCACTGGAGAATCCAGCACATCTAAAGAAATGGTTGTATAGCCTCCCAGATGAAAGGCTGGAAACCTAATAAAATCCCAGGACTCTCAGACATTCCATATTCCTAACTCTCAGGGGCTCTTTTAGATTCCTCCCAGTTTACTGCTTCATGAAAAATATCTGTGATATTTTTGCTCTCTGATCTACTTCCCTCTTCCTCTTGCATAAAGTGACTAGAATCTAGGGACTGACTCGAGTAGCAGATCAGGAGGAAATTAGAAGTGCTAAAAACTAGTGAGAGGCTTTAGATTTTGCCAGAAAAAAAAAAACTAGTTTGTATTAAAACAGAATAAACACTCTAAGAAAGATCAGAAGCAAAGATGTTGGTATCCAGATCCAGATAAAGTGGTTTAGGAAAGTGGAAGATGCTGCCTTCTTTAACAGAACAATGGGAGGCCAAGGGAAGAGGTAAACTTTAAAAACAATTGGACTTCCCACTTGGAGAGGAAGGTCATATTATTCTTACCATCTCTCTCTCCTCTCCTTCTTAGCAATTAGGGAATATGAAAGATTTCATGGGATTGGGAACAGCCTTAAAGGGAAAGTCAAAAGTGGAAAGACCCACATTCATCAAAGGTGAGGTAACTGGGAGAGGAAAGGGCCCATGGCTGTCAGTTCTCAGCTTCAAGGTAGCCTTCTAAAGACTTCCAGGAAACTGGTTGCAAGTGAATAATAGTTGACTTTTACTTCCTGGACCACATTTCCTAGGCTTAAACTTGGTCATCAATTGTATGCAAAATATCTGCTCTAGAGAATAGCCCCACTGGTCCAGTTCTGCATTCAAAGGCTCAATACTGCTGCCACCTACATCGACTAGACCCGTGGTTGGCAAACTGCGACACTCGAGCCACATGAGGCTCTTTGGCCCCTTGAGTGTGGCTCTTACACAAAATACCACAACCTGGGTAAGTCTATTTTGAAGAAGTAGCATTAGAAGAAGTTTATGTTTTAAAAAATTGGCTCTCAAAAGAAATTTCAATCGTTGTACTGTTGATATTTGGCTCTGTTGACTAATGAGTTTGCCGACCACTGGACTAGACTATTCCACTTATCTTATTTCTCTGTCTTTTTTTTTTTATTATAGGGTCCCTGTTCTGAGCTCTTTCTCAGATTTCATTCTGTTCTGTTTCTTCTGGCCCCTACAGATAAAGTCCTGTCCCCATTTCTTAAATAGCATATGCCTCCTGGAATTGCTTCCATTATTGGCCCTTACTCACATTGACAAATGTCAACTTAAAAATCTCATTTTCATCTTTATAAAGTTATAGTTCTTTGTAACCCCCAGATATATATCTTTGGCAGAGGTAGCCAGCACTAGATATCTCTGAATCCAGATGTCTTTGCAGCAGCCACGAGCTATGCATTCTACAAACTACTGTGCCAAAGAAGTAGTGTTCTATCAATTGACAGAGTAATATTGAAATAGGGTGATTCAAAGACCCTGCCCAGGAGCTAACTCAGCATCTTGTTATGCCCCACAAAGTGCATTGCTAGTTGATTCAAATCTATTTTACCCTTAATAGGAATCATTTTCATGACACATCATAACCTAACTGAAGGGGCAATAAACACCATCAACTTACATTATAAATACCAACAATTTGCCCAATACTAGTGTAGATTCTCTGGCTATACAAACATAAATAAATTCCTGCCCTTAAGGTACTTACAAACAAGACCTAGAAGCTCTAGTTCATATTTGAGCATGGTAGCTGATATTAATATTGACATGCTTATCATTGGAATTAATATATCATGTAAGTGCCACCATGGCACAACACTACATCAATTCCAAGAATAGCACTGAATCCTCTTGGTGGCCTTAGTAGATATGGTATGTCCCCAGGATAGATGAGGTCCTTATGGAGGGTGCTCTTGAGATATACAAATGCTGCTATGGGTTTTAGACATACTGTGAAAGAACTGAAGCTATCTGGAGTTGCAGGTGAGAGGATTCTGTTTAATTAATTCTATATAAAATGACTGATGGGTAGGCTAGGCTAAAAAAACTTCTGTGACTCTGAGTCTGTGAACAATCTATTAGATGGTAAAGCACACTTGTGAAGCTAATTATCAGAATGGTACTCAACATTAACTGAGATATGATAAAAGATCACCCAAGTAGACTTACCATCTGCTCCTTCACTGCTTTTGCTTCTTTTATTGCGACGGACACGCCTACTTTCTGCTTCAGTGTATGATTTTTCTTCAGGGAAGAAAAAATTCATTAGGGCCATCTGTAAAAACAACAAATAGATGAATAAGAGATTGACCCCAGTCAACCATAGCTGACATAAAAAAACTAGTTTCCTGTAGACATTCTAGTTTCACCTTAAATTCAACATGTCTAAAACCTGAGACTATCTTCCCTCCACTGTAGAAATCCTTTTATTTTTGTTACCATTATTCCAGTCATGTAGACACTGAATTTTGGCTAATCTCTGAATCCCTTCTCTTCTGTCCTGAATGTTTAATGACTAATCCTCTGACTCCCATTTTCCATATAGTTCTGGGATTCAGAGAGCCCAGTGGTGGATTTCTAACTTCCCTCATGTACTACTGATGTCTGCCCAGAATTAGATTTGAGTTTGCAACTCCCTCTTGAACTTCATTAATATACAGTCATAAACTTCCCACATTCTTATTTATACTAAACTTTTGGTTTATTACTATAATGCTCTGCATCCAATTATGATTGAAAGATGCTATTTATATAAACATTCTTCTGGAAGTTAATTATGACAAAACACATTTTCTCTGTTTCCTAGACTCCTACAGAACTCCTATAGCAGTTGGGTATAAGACTCATTTTGGTACTTGATCCTTTACTCTCTTATGATGATCTCTCGTAATAATACAATATGTTTCATATGTGAATGGGCCTGGTTTCGCTAATGATAATCACAGCTTAAATATGTATTAATACTTGCCAAAATGAATCATAATATTTCAGCATGAGTGCCTCTTTGTGGTTAAAAATATGCTTGAGCTAAATAGTGGACAGAGAAGTAGGAATGAGAGTGATTCTAATTTGACTTTGCCAATTATAGCTGTGTACCTTGGGCAAATTATTTGAGTTTTAATTTCCTCATCTGTAAATAGAGATAATAAATAGTACTTTGCTCATTAAGCAGTTAAATGGTTAGCACAGTACTCAGCAAGTAATATGTACTCAATAAGTGTCAGTAATTACTGTTATTAAAAATCAAACTTCCAATCAATCTCTAGGCTGGTTAGAGAGTTTGGGAGTTAAAAAAGAAGTGAATCTGCATTTTCACCCTAGTGTTAATGTTTTTAAAAAATAAACAATTTCAGAATTCTCATGTCTGCTGCATCTCTCATTAATTGAAAACAAAAATTTGGTACAACTCACGAAAGCATTAGCATTCTATACTAAATCTCTTCAAAACGCTAAGGTTTACTGTTTACATAGGACAATTATACCCAACAGCCTTAACAGCATCTTGCATAATATATTCATGTGTTAAATAAATATAAAGTTAATAAGTGCAAGCTTAGGTAATTTCCAACTTGTCATAAGATTAATTAAAAAAATTAAGTTGAACAATATGAAACTGTCATTTTTGTAAATAAAAATGGTAGAATATTAGCAATTTCAGATGGTTCAACTGAGCAGTATTTTTGAATCACTTGATTGGAATGTAAAATGCATTTTCCCATAAAATCAACATAATAAACTCTGGCTAGGTTTCCAGACAAAGCTCATAGAAAGTTACTTAACCCATAACATAAATAAGCTATTGTACTACTGAAAATATAAAACCAAGCTGCTATTTACAATAAAAGCTCAATAATTTGAAACTCCAAAAGAACAAGTCTATCTAGATTGAATAGTTTTCTTGGTGATAACTTATTTAAGCTATTTTTAATAGAAATTACTCCACAATATATTGTTTAATTCAGGGCTTATTAGAAGAGGTGTTACCTCTGTGAGTCCTGAATGATGTCAATGATTTAGTGACAGAAAACAAAAAAGAGCCCTAGCTGATTTGGCTCAGTGGATAGAGTGTCAGCTTGAGGACTAAAAGGTCCTGGGTTCAATTCTGGTCAAGGGCACATGCCTGGGTTGTGGGCTCCATCCCCAGTGGAGGGCGGGGAGGAGGCAATCGATCAATGATTCTCATCATTAATGTTTCTATCTCTCTTCCTCTCCCTTCTTCCCTGAAATCAATAAAAATATATTAAAAACAATAAAACAACAAATAAATTCCAGGCGAAATGAGCATTGTGTTTAAATGTTCAGAGGAAAGAGAGAGAATAGCAGTTTTTTGAAATATAAATAAATTAGAATAAGTGATAGGAAATTGGGAATAATGTTAAAGAATGAGCCAAAAGACATAAATAAGTGCTAGATCATGTTAAGGAATTAGTTTCACTGTGGCTGCTTTTTGAAATCTTAAGCTTCTTTTTAATGCTTTTTTGTCTCTTACCTTGCTGTCAACTACCAGATTTCATTTTACTAACCTGTAACATCTTTTCTAGTCCCTTCAAATTTGTTACTTATTATATTATAGGCTTGACATCTTGATAAAACTAATTAGAATCATGTACAAACAGAATAAGCGGGTAGTCAATGAGTTTTTGGATAGTTTTTCCAATAAATAAGATGCACATTCTTTGGCAGCTTAGAGGCCATTTGTTTATTGCTTAATTCCTGGCTGTGGTCTGGATAGGTGAATTTGTCAGAAAACTGAGTTTTACATGATGTGTTATTATAGTATAATGCTATTTCTGGGGGGAAATTTTTTGAAGTCCAAATGAAGAATTTCCCCACCATCACAACTACAATTCCAGAATTTCCTTCACACTCTTTTGTGTTCTGGCAGGGCCTCCAGCACCTTCTTGTGCCCTGATGGCAGCAGTAGAATGTGCTTACATATTAATTGTTCCAACAGGTCTGGTGGGAGTTTGTCAGAACTGAAGAGTGATACAAAATCCTGTAGATAGCAGATACAACTTCCGTTTCCATGGATACTAGGGATAGCTTAAAATCCCTTAAGAGAGGCTATGGATGAGTATGGGACATTCATAAATCAAGTGCTTATTAGATGAGGACTATCTATATATGAAAATGCGTCGAATATAGTTTCTATTTTCTCAACGAAAACGAAGTAAACAACACAAAGCACAGTTTAAACTGAAAGAGGATCCCTATTCACAGTGCCCTTAGTTGAGTCTCAATTAGATGAAAGAGGGAAAACTATCCTCTGTGTAGTACAATGGTAAGGACAAAAATCAGTGGCGGCTCATACAAAAAGTCTGGAATTCTATCTTGAGTTTTGCATTCATTAGCATGGCCTTCTAAGGCAAGTTGCAAAATATGAACAAAACAGCTTTCTCTCTTCAAATATTGCTTTCTTATTTCAGAAGGGGGGAAAGAATTATGAATGTTGGCTACAGTCAGGCATTTTGCTCAAGGGAAGAAAAGTCTAATTCTTTACACTTTATTAACTGATTACTCCCTTGTTCCCTATGGTAAAATTACATGGTAAATAGCACCTGCAGATTACAGAGATCTCAGCTGGAAACACTTCGTTAACAGTGAGACATGAGAGATGCATCCATTAGTCCTAGTGACTCTCCAGATACTGTACTACATTTCTCCCTAATATATAAACCCACAAAATTTTATAAGGTACTTTTTTCTTTTTACCATGACACAGAATAAATTTAATTCATTTCATGGCTAATATATTTGATTGAATTAGCTCTGGGCCTCAGCCACAGTAGAGGTCTCTAATAAATATCTATCTGTTGAAAAGATAATAGGACTATCAATAATCCATTCCTTAACCAGTTAACTGCCACCATATTTTAAATTTAATTTAAAAAAGGTCCACCCTTTATGTCTATAGACGCCATGGCATTCAAATGTTAAAGATAGGATTTTATTTTACCCTAATTGGACCTCATTTCTTAGGGTACCATGGAGAGGTAAATTAAGGACTCATTACACTACTGGCAGTAATAAGTCAAAGGGGTTTAAGAATGAGATTCTCTATATTAATAGGTCAGTGGCTCTCCAAATTTGGTGTGCATCACAATCACAAGACATGAGTGTGAAAATGTAGAATCCAGGGCATTCCCCTCCCCAAATTTAGCTTGAGTAGGCCCCCAGAATCTGACTTTTCAACTTCCTTCCTACAGGATTCTGATGTAGGTCATCTTTGAACCACATTTTGAGAAATTGTTTTATGTTCATTCCTCAACCTGTCCATTATCTGGAGACTGAAAAGGCTAACTCTCTCTTTGCCACTGGTAAAACAGGGCTCTCACATAGACAGTGTTTTTCACCTTTATTCAGTCATTCCTAGAGTTAATCTTTTTATAGGAATTGGTACTTCATTTGTCTCAAGAGGAGGCAGGTACCTACCAAGCTTTTTAAAATTGATAAATCACCTATTTTTTAAAGAAATATTTCTTTTCCAGTGTTCTTGAATAAGTCAATTTTTCTTATTACAACTACTGCTATCATTACCACCACCCATTGGTAATCATCTGGAACCTTGAAATAAAATTAAAAAAAATAAAAATATTTATACTCTGAGATGTTTAACAAAATCTTCAAGTGATTCCACAATGCCAAAAAAAAATGAGCATTTTATCTCAGTACCAATTAGTGAAGTAGGATTGCCCAAACATGGGTATGCCATAGATAGAAAATGGATACAGAAGCTGGCGTTGAGTACACTTCTAATTATAAAAACCCTTAATTCAACATGCTCTGATTTTCTTTTTAAAATTATTTTCACTTATTTCTAGTATACTCCTTTCATTTCCTTATGCTATTGGTTGAATAGTGTATGCCCAAAATTGATTTGCTGAAGCTCTAATCTCCAATAACTCAGAAAGTTACTGTATATAGAGATAAATCCTTAAAGAAGTAATTAATTTAAAATAAAACTGTTAGTATGGTCATAATCCAATCTAAATGATGTCCTAATAATAAGAAAAAATGTGGACATGCAAATACTAGGGATGCATATACACAAAGGAAAGACCATGTGAGGACATAACAAGAAAGTGACCATCTACAAACTGAGAGTGGCGTCAGGAAAAAAGTCTGTTCACACCTTGATCTTGGATACCTAATCTCCAGAACAGTGAGAGAATAAATTTATACTGTTTAATGCCGCCCTCCCCCTGTATTATTTTGTTATGACAGTCTTACCAAATAAATCCTCTTTATATAATGTCTTCATGCTGCTATACTGGT